ACTTCTCGACGCTGAAGAAGGCGGTGGATGCGGTGGAGGAGGGGCGGGAGAAGAGGGTGGTGATCTACGTGAAGGAGGGAGTTTATAACGAGTACGTGGAAGTGGGTCCCGGCAAGAAGAATGTGATGATCGTCGGCGACGGCGCGAACGCGACCGTCTTCACCGGAAGTCATAACTACGTCGATAATTACACCACTTTCAACTCTTTCACCCTCGGTACGTAATTAAAGATTTTTTAAAAACATTGTTTTTTTAGGAATTTACTTAAATACCACTAAAACATAATGACTTTCCCTAAATAGCAATACATGTATTTTTCTTCCCAATGTAGTACTTTTAGTCATTATGCATTAGTCATTATTTAAGTAAATATTCAGCATCACAGGACATTATGGACATTATTAAGTGCTATTTAGAGAATAAAACAATTTAAATACTATTTAGAGAAATGACTTAAGTTTTAGTGCTATTTAGTGCAAATATTTCTTGTTTTTTTTAATGAGATTTACTCCTCTTTTTTTGAAGTTTAAATAGTTCAATCTTCATTTTTGACGCAATTGGGATAAAACACTTTATTCTATCTAAAATATCTATAATTGCAATCGATTTCGCATGTAATAAAGGAGGAATAATATGTATATTTTGAGATTTTAGGTAGAATAACAGTGTTTGGTGACACGTGAAAAAAGAAGTTTGAACTGTCTTAAAAGTATTCCCTCCACACTAATGTTTTGTAAATTGTGATATGTGAATAATCCTCATTTTGATTTATTTGAGTCAAATAAAAGTAACTTTAAGGTTTAATTAAATCAAGAAAAATTTGTTTAAATAACACTAAAACATAATTAAATCTTTTATAGCATCATATGTGTTTTTCCCTAATGTAGCACTTTTAGTCATTATTTATTAGTCATTATTCAAATAAAAATATTTGTCATCACTGGATATTATTCCTCCTTTTAGACGTTATTAATTGTTATTTAGAAAATAAAACAGTTTAAGTGTTATTTAGGGAAATAACTTAAGTTTTAGTGCTATTTAGTGCAAATATTTCTTAAACCAAAATTGTACAGAGTAATGTGTATTGGTATAAAATGATCTTTTTTAGATTTTTCTTATTGAAAGTTTTCAAAAAATTTATTTAATTTTTCTGTAATGCAATTGAAGCTTAATTTTATCTATTTTGTTTCGAAAAAGTCGAACTCAACAAATATATTACTCCCTCTGTCCCATTTTAAATTGCTTGTTTGCATTTTTTCTCCGTCCCAAAATAAGTTGCATGTTACTTGTTTTCGTAAACTTTTAAAAGTAAAATACCTAAATTACCCCTTAAATAAGTCACTTTTCTTCACCTTATCTTCTCATTCATCGTCATCCCTTCTAAAAAGTAATGACAATTTCGGAAAATCAACTTTATTTTTTCTTTTCCTTAAATATACCCAAAAGTCAAAATAGGCAAATTAAAATGGGACGGAGGGAGTAGAATTTAGAACGGATATAATATTATTTTGACAATAATATATGGGAGTTTGGAAATATATATTTTTTCTTTTTAATCTTTTTATGGCCACTTAATTTTGATTGATGCAGCGTCAAAAGGCGCCAACTTCATCCTGCAAGACCTCTCTGTCTGGAACACGGCGGGGGCGAAGAAGCACCAGGCGGTGGCTCTCCGTGTCGGCGGCGACAAATCCATCATAAACCGCTGCCAGATCGTGGGGTACCAAGACACTCTCTACGCCCACTCCCAGCGACAGTTCTACCGAGACAGCACCATCAAAGGGACCGTCGACTTCATCTTCGGCAACGCCGCCGCCGTCTTCCAGAACTGCAACATCGTCGCCAGAAAGCCCATGTCGTCGCAGCAGAACATGGTCACGGCGCAGGGCCGGGTCGACCAGAACCAGAACACCGGGATCTCGCTCCAGTCCTGCGGGATCGTGCCGGGTCAAGATCTGAAACCCGTGTCCGACGAGATCCAGACGTTTCTCGGGCGGCCTTGGAAGAAGTACTCGCGGACGATGGTGATGGAGTCGTACATCGCCGGCCACATAGATCCCGCCGGCTGGCACCCGTGGTCCGGCGACGATTACCTGGACACGCTGTGGTTCGGGGAGTACGACAATCGCGGGCCGGGATCTAAGACCGGGGACAGAGTGGAGTGGAAAGGGTATCATAAGGTTGAGAAAAGCTCCGTCGCCGCCGATTTCACGGTGAAGAAGCTTTTGGAGACGGAGGACGACCGGTGGGTGGCTAAGAGCGGCGTGGATTACACTGAAGGTCTGGTTAATAACGATTAGTCATTATCATTTCGGACCAGTTACACAAATCTTTAATTAATTAATTAATTAATTGAGAGATGTAGTTAAAAGATTATTGTTACTCCGCTTACTTACGCCATAAACTGTGCTCTAATAATACAATCCGTGCTTGAATACGTTTGAAGGGATATGGAATTTATTTTGACTCTTTCACGACTGTGGAGTCAACAAATAATATGAACTCCAATAATATAAGGCTTAGTTTGGTGCACGAAATTAATTAAGTGAAATTTATATCAATAATACTAAAATATATGTAATTTTTGAATGTAGTACTTAAATTTTTTTATCCTTTAAACAGTACTTGAATAATATTATTTAGTCGCGGGAACAATGGTCAGTGATAATGAACATTTATTTGAATTATGTCCAGTAGCGGCATATATTTATTTGAGCAATAACCACTATATAATGACCAGTGGTACTACATTGAAAAAATGAAAAATATGGTACTACATTAAAAATGATACTTTGTTTTAGCACTATTTAGATAAATTCTCCATAATATAATCCGTGCTTTTTTTACGATATAATCCGTGCTTATATTTATACTACATTTGTCATTGTCAAGTTTTAAGTTTTTTAGTAAACCATTTTCAACCTAGGATCCATAATTAAATAAAACATATATTGTAAATTAATTAGATGAAATAATATTTTGAAAATATCTCATATAATAACTTTAATAAAATTATTTTTGTATCAATATCTAATTTCAATTTTATTTAATTCGAGGTAAAAAATTACCACTTTTGATTGAAAAAATAAAAAAAGATAAATACTCAAGAACAAAGAGAGTACTAACTAGAAAATTGAGTAGTGCGGAGTATGGATTTCCTACTATTTCTCATAGCCAGCAATATTCAGGGCTTTTTAAATGAGTTTTGGAAGAATGATAAGATACAAGTTTTGAAATTTGAGAGAAATGATATAAGTCTTAAATTCTAGAATGAAGTTGTTTGAAAATATTTAAATGAGTTTTGGAGGAATGATAAGATACAAGTTTTTTAAATTTAAGAGAAATGATATACTCCGTAAGTCTTAAATTTTAGAATGAAGTCTTAATTTGTTGGTTTATTTTCAATTTCAAATTAATAAAATAATATAATCATGTCACATCTAATTTTGTAGATTTTTTGATGTAATTTATGTTTCTTTAATCTATACAAAGAAAACATCTAAAGGACCATTGGGCTGGGTACGAACTTTTAGACGTACTATATTTTAACAAATGAGGTGAGCTAAAACTGACTCCAATACCATGATGAAATCTAGGAAGCGGTAGGGATAACTCGATTGCTCAATAAGACATTTAAGGTGAACACATCAAAAGATTGAATTCAATCAAATATTTAGTTCAGTTTAAGAACTTATATACTGATTTAATTTCTTTGCAAGCTCGGATGTGGGATAACTCTTTGACATTACCCCACCCCATACATTGCATATTACTTAGGGGTGGACACGGTACCGGTACGGTACCGTGACCGGCAACGCTACCGCTGGTACCCGCCACCGTCAGCGCCGGCCGGGACGTCCCACCGGTTCTGGGAACTGGTACCGGTACCGCCCCCCACGGTACCGGTTCCAGTATCCATTTTTTGGTACCGGCACCGGCGGTACCAATACCGGTTCCGGTACCTTTTTTTTTATCCTGATTTGCTCCCCCACAGCGAAGTCCATCCGTCGCGCAGCCGCTTGATTGAAGGAAGAAGAAGAAGCACTGCTGCCAGTTTCCCAATACTCCATAGCCCATAAGCCCAATAGCCCAATTTCTCAAAAAAAAAACGGAGTACTCATTCATCGCTCTCTGCTCTCATCTCTATCACCAAATTATTCCGCAGCAATAGCCAATCGAAGAAGAAATTGGTGAGTCGGCGACTGGAAACCGAAGAAGAAATCTATGGCCGGTCCGGTACCGGAACCGCCGGTCCGGGTACCGGAACCGGTACCGGCCGGTCCGGTCATGGTACTGGTACCAAGGGGTGGCGGTACCGGAACCGGCGGTTCCGGAACCGGAACCGTCCCAGAACCGTACCGTGTCCACCCCTAATATTACTACGTACATATACAACACAGTTTCTGCTTAACCTTTTGAAAGGTTTATTTTTGTTATTCATTTTTTCACTTAAATAAATTTTGTGTCGAAGATGAACATTTGACTTAGTTTTCAAATATTTAAATTTTTTTTCCTGCTATAAAATACTCTCTCCGTCTTGGAGTATTCGTCAAGTTTTGACTTTTGAAACTGTTCATCTAAGCACTTTGACTCATCATATTCTCTCAATGTGTAAGACTAAATATAGTCATGTGTGATCTTGTTTGATTTTTCTTAACATATAGATTATTAATATATAATTTTTATAATTTTTTAATATACAAATTACAAGATAAAATGGATTAAATAAGTGTATTGGATGGTGTGTAAAAATGAAAGTGGAGAAATACTCTGGAACGGAGGTAGTACTTCAATAAAATAAATTTAAAATAGCTAAAATTTTGCTTCATTTTGTACTAACATATACTCCACTTTGTAATAAAAGGAGTATAATTACCCAAGGGATTTAGTAAAAAATTTCGGACGCTCGTGTAATTTTGTGACAAAATAGGCCCAGAAAAGAAAATCATTCTTCTTCTTTTCTGCCTGCGCTTGACTGGTAAATCGTAATCCATTTCCCGTCCCGATTTCTTCTTCATTTTTATGCGCGAAATCATAGAGGAATTGGAATTGATCGTTCATATATTCAGCTGATAATTTTATATAATCCGAAGGTTTCCAGAGCTGTCGCTGCATTGATAAAAGAATGGAGGATTTACTCGTCCCCATACTTTCCATGTTCCTTGTTCTGGTCTTAATACCTTTGTACATCTGGAAAACTCGGAAGAGTTCTCAAATTCACGCAGAGAATGAAGAAGAAGCTCAGGTAATTTTCCATTTTTATACAAAATACAAATTGAAATAGCTAGGTTTTCGTCAAAATTGCTATTTGTTTCCCCCAATTTTCAGCTGGGGAGCTTGAATGTATATGTGTTGCATGAGTTTGAATTTGTATTGGCCCAAATTGGAAGTAGGTTAGGCGGAGGGAAGCTGTAGTTAGGGCAACTGGCGCCCGTCGCATGCGGAGAAGACCCGCTTCTTCAGCTGCCAGCACATCTTCAGCATCTGCTGCGCTAGAAGGTGCCTTCTCCTTCACTGAAATCACCCGTGAACTCAAAAGAAACTGTTTATTGTTTTTGTTCAATGGCCTTGCCTGCAGCATTAATGAGTTTTTTTTTTTTTAAATTAAAACAATGGAATAGAGGGTGTTGAAGAAAGTGACGATGAAGCTTCTGGAGATGGATATTATGCTGCCAAAGCTTCAAAGAAGAAGGAAAAGAAGCGTCAAGAGAGGGAAGCTCAAAGACAGGTGCAACTTCTTTATTTATGTCAAATAAATAATCTTGTTATATTGATCTTTCTGCATCCTCTGAGGAACTATTTTATGCTATATGATGAAATAATTCCATTCCCATCCAAAAGGTAACCCAAGGTTCCAAAGGACGTGGAGGGGTATACCCTACACTAAACAAAGATATAAAAATTGTAGTGCCATAAAAGTATTTCACAACAACACTGCCTTCTATATTTGCTATGTGATCCAAGGAAAAGATGTTGTGCTTGATCTCTCTACGGCCTACACACCTTTGTTTAGAAACTGAATCTTGTTTGTCATGTGCCCTGATTGGTTGTGTAGGCTGAACAATCTGCTCGTGAATCAAGGCAGTCAAAATCAAGCCGCTATGATGAAATTAGGAGGAGAAAAGATGAGGAGCGTGAAGCTAAAGAGCGTGCCTTAGTGAGTCGACACGTCTTGTATTGTGTACAATTATATTGTGTCTTTGTTGTGTTACTTTCTTAGGGTCCTTGCATTATATATATTTAGGAAGAAGAAGCCAAAGCTCGTCAGGCAAAAGAGGAGGAAGCTGCAGCCTTTGAGTTTGAAAAATGGAAGAGTGCATTTTCAGTTGTCGCTGAAGGTACAACTGAAGGTGAAGTTCAATATGAAAGCCATGGCTTACTTTCTGATTTTGTGGAGTACATCAAGGTGATTTTTTTATATGATCCATCTGCTTTAAGGACGAGGGCTCGTTCTTATGTTCTCTCTTTCCTAAATTTTGGATCATTCCATTCGATTTATATACACAGTTTACCATTTCAGTTTTCCAGCTTTTAGTACATGAAAAGTGAAAACATTAACTAAAAAAAGATTTTTGTGCTTTGAGCAGTGTATATCTGTGATTTTTAATTGTAACCATTACTACCACAATCACCAAGGTTTAAAAGGAATTCTTTGTGTAATTCTGGAATAAGCATCACAATCATCACCCTTTTGGGACATAGTAGAAGTTTTAGAACAATGCATGCACTTGCACAAAAGAATAATAGCGATGTTGAGGGGACGGATTAGCCTTTACCAAATTCATGTTTATCAGCTCCAATTAGTCAAATAGATTAAGGTATTTTTTTTACTTGTATGAAAAATAATTCTAACTTACCAAGTGAAACCGCAAATTCAGTTAGTGACATAGGGGCATTAGAAATTAACATATAGTATTGGTCTTTAGACTTTTTCCTTGTGTGGCAGAAGCATAAATGTGTTCCACTGGAGGATCTTGCTGCAGAATTCAAGTTGAGAACCCAGGTAAACACTTATGTTGATTTGTACAACAACAACAACAACAATAACAAACCCAGTAAAATCCCACAAAAAGTAGGGTTTGGGGAGGGTGCGTGTACACAGACCTTACCCCTTCTCAGGAGTAGAGAGGCTGTTTCCAAGAATTGAGAACTGTTTTCTTTTATGTGAGTTGAAAACCCAGGTTAACCTTATTCAAGCATGCAAGCTACGGAGTACATTACATAGTTATATTAATCCATGCATTGTTGTGGTGCTACATTTTACGACCTGCTCTTAAAGTATATAAACTCTATGTTTTGCAGGAGTGTATTAACCGGATCAACTCACTGGAAGAGATGGGTAGGCCATTTTTCCTCTTCTAAATGTAAATTGTAATAATGTTTTTGTATTGCACTGTCTATCTTAGATTCTTGGTTGTACTTGCTCCCAGCACAGCTTTCGGCATCTTACTTTTGATGCATTTAACACAGATATAAAGTTAGAGTTTTTGGAGTCATTGGTTTGGTCATCAAGAGTCTTGAACTATGTCTTATATCAGCTGCAAGGAATGATTGTGATGTTTTAAGGGATTGCCTCCATAATGTTTTCCAATGACCTGTATGGGCCGTTTTGGAAATACTCCGTATTTGGGAAATGCAATAGGAAGAAAACATAGGGGTAAATGGTAATGAAAGAAATTCTGGGGGAAGATAATATATAGGCTGAAACTCTGTGCATGTATTGATTCTCATTTTTATGTCTTGATATAAGCACTTGAGTTTAATGATCCTAAAGGATCAAGTAAAATCAATTAGTTGGTTTCTAAAGATCCGAGCAGTCCATTCTAAATATATGTAAATTCAAATAAAAAGTAATCATATTTCATTTTCCTTTGCTTTTTCCAAGGTACAACCAAACATAAGAAAATAAATCTAGCTATTTTTTTTCTTTCAGTAGCATTTTCCATGATCCAAACATACTCCCATAGTTTTGCATTCTTTGAGCTAGTGATTAATTTTTGGTCCTTTCTAAATTTAGTACTTTTAAGTGCAAACTTGTTAGTACTTTTTTTTTGTTTTTTAATTAAAAAAAATAACTGAGTTCTCACCAGGGAGGCTTTCGGGGGTGATGGATGATAGAGGAAAGTACATATACATCTCTCAGGAAGAAATGAAAGCTGTTGCAGACTATATCAAGCGTGTGGGTAGGGTGAGCATATCACACCTTGCCAGCAAATCTAACGAGTTCATTGACTTGGAGCATAAATCCCAGCTGGCCGAGGTCAACACGGTTAGTGTTGGGGAGATAGCTGTTGTTTGACTCTCTATGATTACAAAATCTCCGTATTGATCGACCAGGTTTATACTTTTTTCTATCCAAACTGTTTTTTTTACTTTCTCAAATGATGAAAGCCAATTAAAACCTTGCTGGCCAAAAACACATGAAACCTTCTCATGCCTATCAATCTATCATAGAACGAAAAAAAGATCCTGTGACGTCCCTGTGAACTATGCTGTTACTGTTTAACCTGGAAACAAATTAGTGGAATATACCACGGGATATGCGTCCACATGTGATGTGCACATGATTTGGGCCGAGGGCGTAATAGGAAATTGCTCTACTCCAACCTCTGAGATATGCTTTTTATCTTTGAAGTATGCAAAATATTACTGAGTACAAAAACCCATGGGTGAAAATGAGGACTTCTCTTCCTGTATTATGTAGTTTTTGAATGCAATCAATAATGATCTGAATTTTTGAATGTATATTGATGGTACGTTTGCCTATAACACAATGGTGACATGTGTTTATGATAGGTTTAATCTTGTTCGGTAGCGCTTTTAATTTCGTTGATGATGGATACAAAATTTTGACTAATTACTCCGGGGTGTATAATACAGAGTACTTATCACGGAGTATATTTCTATATGACATGATGCTTTTGACACATGTTTTGTATGGCAACAGGGCCCTCCAATGCTTTGTTAAGGTATGTAGTGGTTCCTACCTCACCTTAGGATCCTCAAATGACCCGGTGTCATAATAAGACACATGTTTTAGGTAAAAAATCCTTGCTCATTTCTTATATACACATTGATTAGATATGTTAAGGAAAAGAGAAACGTTGAACAAATAACACCACACAGACAAAGCACAAACTTTTAGTGAGGTATCCTATTACATAAGTTACTTCTGTTTACCATGGGTAGGCTACATTATCCTAAAACTTTCATAGTTGTTGAAAATATGGATTGAAATATTTCGAACTAAATTGGTTCAGACCAATTAAGCTTATTTCAATCATTCATGTGATTTAAGGGTGATTACTACAAACGGGAACTGCTTTTTTTTGAGGCGTCAACCTGACGAACTCGATATTGGGTCAACACTGCATCGAACAACAAAATCTAATGAATAAATAATAAAATAGAGTAGAGAAAGTATTTTTAAATGAAAACCACAAGTTTTTTTGGGTGGTACCATACTGAGGATAGAAACTTTTATATGAGTTTACATAAGCATGAGTATAGAAGCTTGAAGCGGTTAGTGGAGCTTCATAGCTTTTGTCAAAAAGAACCTAGAAGAGAGAATGTTCTAGGGATCTCTCTCCTCTACGTATCAATCCATTTTTTATGATGTTTGACTAGAATTATTTATTCATTAGATTTTGTTGTTCGATGTATTAAATTCAACGAAGGGAAGTATATCACATATAGTTACCTTCTTTGGACTTATTCTTTCAAGTTTTGGTTAATGTTCCTCACCAATATCAATAAAAAAATAATAATTTTATACTCCGTATAAGAGAAATTGTAATCTTACAGTGTTTTTTAATTTGTTATAAAACCCACGCACCAATTATATCTTTTGCTCGGATTGTTTTCACCCAAAAACCGACAGTAAGATTGAAAGTTAGTACCACATAAATTACTCCCGTAAAATTTCATGATGGTCGGTTTGTCATGAACTAAAATTTTTACAATTTAATTAAAAAAGGTGAAAAATATATTTAGTGTTATTTTGAAGAGGCATATATGACGCTAGGAGGAAATAGATAAGAAATCATAGATTGCATATTTTTTTACACTAAATATATATGTTGAGAATGTTCCAAATGAATAGCGAAAACAGAGGACGAGAATGTCGTTGAAATGGTCAACTCATTTTGTGTCCCATTATAAGCCAAATTTAACGGTCTCCTTTTTTTTTCCTTCTCATTTCTTTCCCCCCCTCTTTTATCTCCTCCCCTTCTTTTTTTCCCCCTTAAGTTTTTACCCATTATAATCCCCCCCTCTCCCGCCCGCGGCCTCACCTTGGTGGCGCATGGTTGTGGCCGCCACGGCACCGTCGTGTTCCCTCCTCCTCCTCCTGCCGCCACGCATTTATATATATTTATAAATTTTTCATATTAATTCGTTTCAGATTTTAGAACACATAATAAATAAATAAATAAAAGCTCCCAGGCATGAAAATGCCATGGAGAATAGCCTTCCTCTCTTTCTTAGCCTCCATGGCTCTTATTTTCTCCCACGTCTGCACGGCCCAGGACTACGAAGACGAGAAGCCAGCGTCACCGCCGCCTGAGCAGCAGCGGTGCGACGGCATCTATGTCGCGTACAATTTCCTGGGCCGCGAGAAGGTATATCCCCTGGTGACCAACACGTCAGCTCAGGCCTGGGCGTTCAAGGCGACGCTGAGCGTCCTGAACGCCGGGGCCCGCGAGCTGAAGTCGTGGAAGGTCCTGGTGGGGTTCCAGTACAACGAGCTGCTTGTGTCCGTTGACGGGGCGGTCGTGGAGGCGGCGGCGGCGGACAGAGACGGCGGCTTCCCCATCCAGACGGGGAAGAACGGCACCGTGTTCTCCGGGTACCCGAAGTCCGACTTGAAGACGGCGATCGAGACCGCCGGAGATTTCGCGCAGATACGGTCGGAGGTGAACATAAAGGGGACTCAGTTTGGGTTGAGGGAGAAGGCCACCCCTTTGCCTAAGACCATCAAGCTCTTGAATGAAGGATATAAGTGCCCTTCTCCCAAACATTTTTGTACGTACCTATCTTTAATATATTGTGTTCAAAGTATATATAAACTTTGATAAAAAGGTGAAATAAAAAGAAAATTTTGAAACAAATAGAATAAGTTATTTTATTCAATAGAAAAAAAGTTTTCTCACCTTTCATATATAAATGTGCTCTTTCAAAATACTCCGATCCCTAAATTTTTATTTAGTGTAGTTAACATTATCTACAAATGTTGAGGTTTATTTCGGAACGAATGGAATATTTATAATTTGGATGTAAATCAAAATGCTAAAAGGGTAATTAAAACAAAATGATTAGAGATAAGCTAGCGGTAATTCGTGTTTATATTCTTATATATACATAGGAAACAAATTAAATGTAAGATATTTAGACAAATATGACCTTGCATGCAAACTTTAGGAACATTTAACTTCAAAGAAGTTTAAAGGCTCTTTCCTTTTTTTGTTGTATTGAATCACAAATTGTATCTTTTGGGAGCAGCAAACCATATGAGCATGTGCTGCAAGAAGGATCCCAAGTTCAAGGACAAGAAGTTGAAGACTAAGTTCTTGCCCCGACAACACGGCGACCTGAGTTTCACGTACGACGTGATGTCGGCGTACGAGAACAAATACCTGGCCCAAGTCACCATCGAGAACAACAACCCGTTGGGCCGTTTGGACCAGTGGAATTTGACTTGGGAATGGATGAGGAACGAGTTCATCAATTCCATGAGAGGGGCCTTCCCTCACGTGAAAGACCCCTCCGAGTGTATCTACGGCCCACAAGGCCAGTATTACTTGGATATGGACTTCTCTACCGTCCTCAACTGCCAGCCCAAGCCCGTCATCTCCGACCTCCCGCCCCAATTCTCCGAAGACGAAAAGATAGGGAAGATCCCACATTGTTGCAGGTATGTACAAATGAATAGTAGAATTGTGATATTTCATTTCAAGATACAATTAGGGTCTGCTTGGTATACCAAATTTAAGACATGAAATAGGAATCTCTAATTCTAATTCCAATTCTGTTGTTTGATCGCAGGAATGGGACATTGTTGCCCAAGACCATGAACGAAACCAAGTCAAAGTCAATGTTCCAGTTGGAGGTGTTTAAGATGCCACCCGATCTGAACCGGACCAGCCTCAACCCGCCGCAGAATTGGAACATAGTGGGCCAGCTCAACCCGACCTACAAGTGCGGTCCACCGATCCGGGTGGACCCGAGCGAGTTTCCCGACCCGATGGGGACCGCCATGACCACGACCGCCGTGGCGTCGTGGCAGGTCACGTGCAACATCACCCGGCCGAAGCCGAAGCACGCCAAATGCTGCGTCTCCTTCTCGGCGTACTACACGGACTCGGTGGTCCCCTGCAACACGTGCGCGTGCGGCTGCGGCAACGACGAGCAGAGGCGCTGCAATCCCGACGCGCCGCCGCTCCCCCTCCCGGCGGAGGCGCTCCTCGTGCCGTTCGCAAACCGGACCGCCAAAGCCCTGGCGTGGGCCGACATCAAGCACCACAAGGTCCCCAGGAAACTCCCGTGCCCGGACAATTGCGGGGTGAGCATAAACTGGCACGTCGACTCGGACTACCGAACCGGTTGGACCGCCCGGATGACGCTCTTCAACTGGAGGGACGACCCGTTTGCAGACTGGTTCACGGCGGTTCAGCTGAAGAAAACCGGCCGGGGATACGAGAACGTGTACTCGTTCAACGGGACGAGGTACCCGCGGCTGAACAACACCATCTTCATGCAGGGGTTGCCGGGGCTGAACTATCTGGTCGGAGAAGTGAACGGAACCCACCCGGAAACCGACCCGAGAGTGCCCGGAAAACAACAATCGGTGATCTCATTCTTGAAGAAGGGTATCCCCAATGTGAACATTGCAAAAGGAGATGGGTTTCCCAGCAAGGTGATCTTCAATGGTGAAGAATG